TATCTAATTGTTATCTAATATATATAATATATGATATACATGATATATGATATATAATATATTATTATAATATACATTATAATATACATTACATGTATAATATATAATGTATAATATCAATATGCAATTGCAATATGCAATATGTAATATGTAATATGTAATATGCAATATGTAATATATTTAATATGTAATATGTAATGTATAATATATATATAATTTATAATATATAATGTATAATGTATATAATATATGTATAATTTATAATATCTGTCTCTTATACACATCTGTATAATATATATATAATTTATAATATATAATGCTGTCTCTTATACACATCTAGATGTGTATAAGAGACAGGTATAATGTATATAATATATGTATAATTTATAATATCTGTCTCTTATACACATCTGTATAATATATATATAATTTATAATATATAATGCTGTCTCTTATACACATCTAGATGTGTATAAGAGACAGGTATAATGTATATAATATATGTATAATTTATAATATCTGTCTCTTATACACATCTGTATAATATATATATAATTTATAATATATAATGCTGTCTCTTATACACATCTAGATGTGTATAAGAGACAGGTATAATGTATATAATATATGTATAATTTATAATATCTGTCTCTTATACACATCTGTATAATATATATATAATTTATAATATATAATGCTGTCTCTTATACACATCTAGATGTGTATAAGAGACAGGTATAATGTATATAATATATGTATAATTTATAATATCTGTCTCTTATACACATCTGTATAATATATATATAATTTATAATATATAATGCTGTCTCTTATACACATCTAGATGTGTATAAGAGACAGGTATAATGTATATAATATATGTATAATTTATAATATCTGTCTCTTATACACATCTGTATAATATATATATAATTTATAATATATAATGCTGTCTCTTATACACATCTAGATGTGTATAAGAGACAGGTATAATGTATATAATATATGTATAATTTATAATATCTGTCTCTTATACACATCTGTATAATATATATATAATTTATAATATATAATGCTGTCTC